TTTTTTTTTTTTTTGCATTTGATTATTTCTTAATAAAATATATCTGATTTTTTTTTTTAAAATTTAAATCGGTAGTATTTTTCCGACATTTAGTATGTTGAGATGATTTGTAAATATTTTTTGTATGTATCTAGGTTATTGTTTAAAGCATGTTTAACAATTGTTAGTATAAAAAAATTGTTAAGATATAATATTTTTTGTAGAAAATCAATCAGTAGTTTAAATAAATAAAAGATATGATATTGTTTGTTTTGAAAGAAACAACATTGGTAACCGATAGTATAAAAAAAAAAATTGTTAAGTTATCAAAGATGTCGCCCTTTTTTTATTTTTTAAATTTGGAATTGTATCTCTTAATAAAATATAACAATTTTCTTTTTTAATTTGAATCAGTAGTATATATCACAAATAGTGGGTTGAGATGATTTGCGAAGATTGAATTGTATATATAAGGATTAATGTTCAAAGAATGTGCTATATTTACGTTTGACAATAAAAGATTGTAGAATATTGTCAGTCCCTTGTATCCGAACTTCAAAATTTAGTATTGGTTTAGAAATTACCTTCGTTTGGATGATATCTGTATGATAGAAACAACTATTAATGGAGTTAGGATGCCTATGTCAGTTCACAATTTTATAATCAAGTTTCATAAACTTGAAATGCAGCAGATAAACGAGCAGAAGATTCCAGGGAAGCCCCACTGGTTTCATCAAATCAACATCTGTGTCAATCTCAGAAGCATCCAGTAGCTGGGCCCGAGAAAGCTCTGGCAGACCCTTCAAATCAAAGTCAAAGTGATGCCAAGCCCAAAGAGTCTGGTTCAAATGGACCTGATGCATCAAAAGAAAGGCCAATGTCTCCTGGTACATTAGCTCTCATGTGTGATGAAGAAGGTACAATGTTCACTTCTGCTGCTTCCTCCAGTAGGTTAATGGCCGATGATCATGTATCTTCCCAGTTGCGGGAAGAGCAAGGTTTGACAGAGTTGTATGCTGAGCAAGAAGGAATTGTTTTGACAAAGTTCCGAGATTGTCTCAACAGGCTCATCACATTAGGAGAGATAAAAGGCAAGTTTCTTCTACCACTTTCAGTGTGTTTTCTATTCTATCTGTATTGTACATTTGTTTGTTTTAAGTTTTGTTGATCTTCCCATTATATGAAAATGCAATAGCCAGCGCTCACAGCCAACACATGCAGAAACACCGAACAGGAGAAGTAGCTTCTTTATTAATTTGTGATATATTTATGCATATTGTATTCAAGAGTTCCATTGCACTCAAACGTACTCATTATTGTTATGCGTTCCTGTTCTTGATGTTTTATTGTTTGTGATTTGGTGTACTTCTGACAAATTCGGCTGCGTAATTTGGAGCTTGTGTATAGAAAGAAAACATGGGATACAATATTTTGCAACACTTTTGTTATCGACTCTTTATCTAGTTGATTAGGTGCCGTATTCTCCCGTCAACTTGGCATAGGAGTATTAGAGATAGGTCAGAGGTATAGAATCTTCTGTTGTGCAGTTAAAGGGTTGTTAATCCTTTCGTTCCGAATTAGGCCATTTTTATTTACATATTTTAAGGTATAAATGCAGTTAAATTTGCCTTCATCACTTGGGGCTGAACTGTAATTAGCCCAAAAGTTAACTTCAGTTACGTTCCGTCCTGTTTGTGCTTAATTAAATTTTAGCAGCAGCCTTCTGAACTTGTCGACTTCAGTGGTTTTAAAGGTGTAACCATAAACTACAGTGACTGAGATTTTAGTCTTGGTATATACTGATCATTTTGTAGTTTTTGATGCATCTATCCATTTTGTTCCGTGTCTTGCAGCAAGCTATGTTTCTAGAATCCGAAGCATCTTTGTGAGGAATTGTGTGCACATCTTAACATGAAATAATAATTCAGTTTGAAAATTTTACCTTTTCCCAACTTAGAATGATTTATTTCATTTTGTCTTTTACCATACAGAAACGAAATATTCTGCCATGGCACGAGCACAATCTGGTAACAAGCACCTTACAACCACCTGCAGCAGTTCAGATGCGAAATGTGAAACTTCGAATCAACTGCCTGTAACCAATGGTGGTTTCAATAAACTTGTTGGTGCTCCACAAATAAATTCTCCAGTGGATACCAAAGCATGTGGTGTCGTTAATAGTCTGCCCCATCAGAGAATAACGTCTTACACAAATGGAGATGTAAGAAAAGAATATGAAAGAAAAGAATCTGGAGAAGAGTTGTAGTTATGTATTCTACTGGGTGTCTGTATATCTTGTGATACTAGGTAATTGTTGCTACATATATAGTTGCCATTCTTAGAACGGATATGATCTCGTGTATCTTTAGACATTCTGACATTCAACTATATCAAACTAAGATACGAAATCTAACTGAGAAAGCATTTCACAATCTAAATATAGACAAGAAAATACAGTTGATGCCTACTAGGCCAACAACAGAGGATAAGTATTCAGTTGTGTTCCAACTCCGTAGATTCTAATTTTTTTTTTTAATAATTATTTATATATATGTTGTCCAATTTTCTTTGGCCTTATTTGGGAACATACATGGGATAAAACCATATTCCCATGTTATTTGGGACTGTTGAGATATCACTTATTTTGTTGGTTTGTATACCGGAAGTTTGACTTTTTTGCAAACTTATTTTCAATTTTCTAATGAAAATCGTGTTTTGTCAAAATTATGTATTTGCGTTTTGTTTATCTAAAGTTTAATGCACATTGTTATATTATAAATAATATGGTTCATTGTGTTGAACATAAGATCAATATGGTTCACAACCTATGTAGAATTAAACAAATTATCGTCAACACTTGTAGTGTAATTTTGGCATAAGTCGATTTTGACTCATGATTACAATACCATTTAATAAGTCTAAATGGACTATGGAAGATAAGTTCATGTTATACCGGTAGTATTGAACTATGCGTTATTTATTGCTCGTATTTTCGTATGATAATAAAAGAGCATATATATATTCGATACTTACTACTTCCATTTATATAGTTAATAGACTGGGAGATTGGCTAGTAATATTGTTTATATGATGTGTTCGTTAATTATTTATGAAAATTGTGCCTTAATGCGTTAGGTGTTGGTTTGTATACTGAAAGATTGACTTCATTTACAAACTTGTTTTCAATTTCTGAATGAGAATGACAATCAGGGTTTAGTCAAAATTATGTATTTGCAGTTTTATTTTAAATATTCATTCAAATTGTTCTATTATTTTAGGTTGTAGATAATGTAGTTCATCGTGTTGAACAACAGATTATATCGGTGCTTTGTAAATTATAAATTGCGGTTCACTACCTAGGTAAAATTGAAGAAATTATCGTAAACGACATAGTTTAAAATGGCGACGCCATGGCGACGCCTCGAGGCGAGGTGACCGAGGCGAGGGCCATATCGTTTCGCCACTGCCTGAGGCGACCCTGTTCGCGAGGCGCTTGCTTCAGGTCGCCTCGGCTCGCCTTTTCGAGTGGCGAGAGGCGCCTGTGAGGCGTGCCTCGGCACCTTTCAGAGAAATTAAATGCTTTGTCCATTTAAAAAAGAAAAAAAAAACGTGCCACTTTTTGGAAAGAGAATAAATTAAAACAGATCGAGCATTTTCTTCACTTCATCTCCCAGACCCACGAAGGAAAAAAACTTCAGTGAAAAATCTCTAAATGGCTCCTCCCCAAAGTAGAGAACTAGGGTTTCTGCGAAAGAACTCCCTAGGCTTCTCAGATTTGAAAATTGCAGAAACCCATTCGCCGCCGCCAAGACGGTCGGTGATGCGTGTCTTTTCCTTTCTTTTCCTTCTCCCTTTTCTCTGTTTTCTTTCTGCCGCTAATCTTTTTCTTCTTTCTTCATTTTTTTACTTTATTTATGTTACTAGTATTGTCAATAGTCAAGGGTGACAGGGTGTAGCACCTTTTCTTTCAATTTCTTTTTATTTACCTCATTTAAGTCTAG